CAGGCGCCAACCACCCGCAGCTCCCGCTGCCGCTCAGCGCCGACGCGCCGCCCGCCTCGAGCTTACATTGGTCCTGGCAGCCGCCTCGCCCCGCCCACCAACCAATAGACAGGGCGATTCTGCGCTCCCAGCCCTGCTGCTGGCTGTCTCGCACTTGTCATTGGTCACTGCAGCCGCCCCACCCCTCGGCGCACCAATGGCTGGGCGGCCTCGCTGGGACCGGCCGCAGTTCCTGCGCGTGCGCGCTTGGCCTCCCTACTGCGTACTGGAAGTGCCGGCAGAGACCGGCTGAGAGGTGCGGCCCGGGAGGAGATGGAGGCCGCGGGTGGGTCCGAGGCGCAAGAGGACGATGAGGACGAAGAAGAGGCGCTGCCGCACTCCGAGGCCATGGACGTGTTCCAGGAGGGTCTGGCTATGGTGGTGCAGGACCCGCTGCTCTGCGATCTGCCGATCCAGGTGTGTGCGGGCGGGGGCCAGGGGGGCGGCAGTCGTTCCCCGGGGGCCGGGCGTCCGGGCGCCCGCAGCCTCTGAAGGTGCTGGTGGGAGGCTGCGGCCCAAGGCTGAGGAAGGCGCCTCTGGGCGTAAACAAGGCTTTTTACCTTGGCTGGGCGCACTCGCCTGCGGCGCGAAGTTTAAAGAGGAACCAAACACCTCGTTAGTGAGTGACATTAAATGACATTTTAATGTAATTGTATTTAGGGGGCTGGGGGGACAGGGTCTTGCTTTGTCGCCCAGGCTGGAGTGCAGTGGCGCGTCTTGGCTCACTACAGCCTGCACCTCCTGAGCTCAAGCCATCCTCCCACCTCAGCCTCCAGAGTAATTGGGACCACAGGTGCGCGCCACCACACCCGGGTAATTTTTAAACTTTTTGTACAGAGGGACTCCCACTATGTTGCCCAGGCTGGTGTCAAACTCCTGGGCTCAGGCGATTCTCCTACCTCAGCCTCCCAAAAAGCTGGGATTATAGGTGTGAGCCACTCACTCGGCCTGTAATAGCTTTAAAAGTCAAAGGTCATGCCAAAAAAAAAAGCCTACGATAAACGAAAAAACTTAGTTCCATTTGCCTCAAGCGTCAATATACTTTGGCACGATACTTTTTATTTATTTATTTATTTATTTGAGACTGAGTCTTTTTTTTTTTTTTTTTTTTTTTGAGACGGAGTCTCGCTCTGTCGCCCAGGCTGGAGTGCAGTGGCGGGAACTCAGCTCACTGCAAGCTCCGCCTCCCGGGTTCACGCCATTCTCCTGCCTCAGCCTCCCGAGTAGCTGGGACTACAGGCGCCCGCCACTGCGCCCGGCTAATTTTTTTCTATTTTTTAGTAGAGACGGGGTTTCACCATGGTCTCGATCTCCTGACCTTGTGATCCGCCCGCCTCGGCCTCCCAAAGTGCTGGGATTACAGGCGTGAGCCACCGCTCCCGGCCGAGACTGAGTCTTGATTTGTCGCCAGACTGGAGTGTAGTGGTGCGATCTTGGCTCACTGCAACCTCCCACTCCGGGGTTCACTACAGGAATGCGCCACAACGCCCGGCTAATTTTTTGTATTTTAGTGGAGATGGGGTTTCACCATGTTGGCCAGGATGGTCTCAATCTCCTGATCTAGTGATCCGCTGGCCTCAGCCTCCCAAGTGCTGGGATTACAGGCGTGAACCACCGCACCCGGCCAATTTTAAATGTTTTATATTTTGCTCATCATGGATATTTTAATTGCCTTGTATTTCTTAAATGTTGTATTAAAATATGTTATTATCGTTTCTTGTGTACACCTACCTTACTCAGTCCTGGGCCCTGGCCTGGGTCCTGATGATCAGGGATACTCAGGGTGAACTGACGGGCCCCACCCCTGGGGACGGATCCTCATGTGAGTTTATTCTCTTGCCTGTTTTTTAGCACCTCTTTCCCCCAGAGACTCTGTCCACTTTGGGCATGAAAATGTGAGTGGAACATGAGATTGGGGCTCTGATGAATTGGGAAACCCTAACATATATGCAAGTACCCTTCCTTGCCTTCGTAAAATGGAGCACCACTTTTTGCCCACTATCAGCTTGTTCTTTGTTGTTGTTCAAGGTGGTAAAGACAGCCAGGGTTCCCACTTCTGCCCTTGGTCTTTTCTAGGTTACTTTGGAAGAAGTCAACTCCCAAATAGCCCTAGAATATGGCCAGGCAATGACGGTCCGAGTGTGCAAGATGGACGGAGAAGTAATGCGTAAGTGTGCCCTCCTCCCTTCAGGTTATGTGGTCCAGGCTTTCACGGCAGCAAAATATAACAGTGCTGGTCAGCCTGCTCAGAAACTCACAGGCCATGCCCAGGGGTACTGGGGCAACCACAAACCTGCCCTGTGCACAGAGCTTCCGGGTTCCTTTCCTGCCATCGGAGGCTATGGCTTTGGGTTCTCACTGTGGATCTTCTCCCATCTGTGTCCGTGGTTGCAGCTGTGGTTGTAGTGCAGAGTGCCACAGTCCTGGACCTGAAGAAGGCCATCCAGAGATACGTGCAGCTCAAGCAGGAGCGTGAAGGGGGCATTCAGCACATCAGCTGGTAAGTGGAACGACAATCCCTTCATTATAGCCCTTCCTGGGGCTAGTGCTGTTCTTGGCACTGTCACCAGGCACCACCTGGAAACAGCTCTCAACTCTGCATGAGTACAGCACCACTGAAGTGATGAGCTCCCTGTCACAAGAGTTCAGACAGTGGCCGGGCGCGGTGGCTCAAGCCTGTAATCCCAGCACTTTGGGAGGCCGAGACGGGCGGATCACGAGGTCAGGAGATCGAGACCATCCTGGCTAACACAGTGAAACCCCGTCTCTACTAAAAAAATACAAAAAAAATAGCCGGGCGAGGTGGCGGGCGCCTGTAGTCCCAGCTACTCGGGAGGCTGAGGCAGAAGAATGGCGAAAACCCGGGAGGCGGAGCTTGCAGTGAGCTGAGATCCAGCCACTGCACTCCAGCCTGGGTGACAGAGCGAGACTCCGTCTCCAAAAAAAAAAAAAAAAAAAAGAGTTCAGACAGTACAGATCCTTCTGTGCCTGGGACTCCTGCCTTGGCCAACCCTAACATACTGCTTTCATCGCCATCACCCCATCCAAGCTGCTGGATATCCTCACTTGGGGACCCCGTCGGGCATTTCCAGTGTGTCTGGAAGTGGCCTCCCTAGTTATGGATGGTACACCTGTAGTGGCTACCATCCCCTTCTCACCTGGGTGCTGGCAGCCCTCGCTCTCCTATTGGATCAACTATCCTGTTCACTGAGTCTCAACACTGTCACCTATTGCATTAGCAAGGTGTGTTTGTCCAAGCCGCCCCATACAGCCCTCTGAGAACAGAGCCTCCTTGCAGCTGCCTCAGAGCCAATTTGCACATTGTACAGAACAGCCCAGGTAGGGAGGACAGCTGCCCCAGGTCCCATCGGGCTGCATGCCTCAAGCCCACACCATGCACAGCCACTCAGCTCACCCTGCTCAGGGTGTGTGGTTTACCTGCGTTCCCCTCTTGCAGGTCTTATGTGTGGAGGACGTACCATCTGACCTCTGCAGGAGAGAAACTCACAGAAGATAAAAAGAAGCTCCGAGAGTAAGTGCCGGCCACATCTTGAGCTGTAGGGGACAGCTGTTCTGTTGCCCCCTAGTCCCCCATGCTCTGCCAGAGGGCTGCGGCTCCCTCTCTGGAGGTAACACCCTCCTCCAAGGAGCTTCCTTGGGGCCCTTCCCACTAGGAGAATGGCAGGCAGAGGGCACTGGAGGGGCCTTGCTGCTTCCCACCAGTGGCAGCTTAGGGCTACACAGTGCCAGGAGGGAGGAAATCAGAGTGGGCATGGAGGCGAAAGGCTATGACTCTGACACTCAGTTCCCTGCCCCAGGGACTTGTGAATCAGAGTGCTTCTGGGTCTGTGAGACGATGGCCACTACCACTTCCTGGCCTTCCCAGAGGCCACATGCCTCCCCTCTGTTGTTTCTTCATGGCCCCCCACAAGCCTCAGAAGGGGAGTCACAGATGTGTGCTTCTGTAGGGCAGGTGCTTTAGGCCTTTCCTTCTTTTTCAGTTATGGCATCCGGAATCGAGATGAGGTTTCCTTCATCAAAAAGCTGAGGCAAAAGTGAGCCTCCAGACAGGACAACTCTCTTTATCACTGGTGGCTGAGCTTTTTCCCAGCAGGATCACATCTTCGAGTCATTGTGCCTCTTTCACAGAAAGGCACCCAACAGGAACTGTCAGCATGAACCTGGGGGCCCTCAGGACTAGGACAGGGTGAGCCAGTGCTCCCTTCTTTCATGTACTTGGCCTGAGACTGACCTCTCCTTGGGTCCAAAGACCCTAGTCACATGGCAGAGCCACGGCCTGGCCCTGTGTGTAAAATAAACCTGTGTGCTTCTAAAAGTCAAAAGCCACAGTACCCTGGGTAGCAAAGACTGAGGTTGCCCCATCACAGAGGTGAGTTAAGGGGAGAGAATTGGTACAGGTGAGTCCTGTGGTCCAAGATGTCACACCACCAAAGCCTTGTGACCACACCACTCCCCAAACCACACAACTGTGTTACCATGATCTCCACAGCAAGGAGGAAATAAAAGCACAGTGGCTTTAGGGTCTGCGTCCTGGAGCTCATGGTGGCAGGTGGCAGTGAGCACAGCACGGCTATGTGTGGGCCCTCCAGCCTCAGCCTTTAGAGTTCACCTTTAGCAGTGCCTTCAGCAGATTCAGTGGACAGGGAGGTAGTGCGGGGTGGAAATTGGAACTGCTGAGGATAGGGGCGGGGTGTTTCCCAGCACATGAGGAGGGTGTGACAGCACATCCCTCGGTCCTTGGCCCAGCGTCGGCTACCAGGCACTCTAAGGAGAAAGAGCAAGGTGCACGTGCCTGGCTGAAGGATTTCACTGGGAAGCAAAAGAGCCTATTGACTGTATCTGACACTCAGTTCCCTGCCCAGTGAGTTGGCTGCAAGGGGCCTGCAGGACCTCCCTCCACAGCTCCCAGCCAGAAACAAAGAAGGAAGGGGAAGCCCTGGTCAAGTTAATGGCAGCTAAAACGCTCCCAGTCCATTTATTGGCCACATGAGGTGGTCGTCAAGAAACAAGTTAGAAGGTTATCATGGGAAGTAGTATAATAAATGCCCAGCAGTACGAGGGGTTCAACAGAAGTGAACAAGGCACAAGAAAGAGGTCTGTGTTCAGGAAACAGGCCAGTCCCCGCATGGAGCAGGTGACTCCTGTAAGCCTGTGAGGCTCAGAGTTGTCATGTCTGGCTCTGGGTTGCTGGAGCACACGACCCCTGGAGCCCGCAGCCAGCTCAGTGGAGCTGAGCGTCCAGTTCGTACTTCTCGCAGAACTTGTCAGTGAAGGGGATGCAGGTGAGGAACTCACACCACTCGCAGCGGACAGGATAGAAGTAGAAGAGGACCACCAGGCCAGCCAGGAGGCCCAGGAAGACCACCTGAAAGATGACGATCTGGCAGCGCTTCCGGTACAGGTCGAGCTTGCCAAAGCTGATGTAGGGCAAGAAGGCGAAGGAAAGGAAGAGGCCACTGATGAACCCTGAGATGTGGGCAAAGTTGTCGATCCAGGGCAGCAGTCCAAAGGTGAAGAGGAAGAGCACCACAGCCAGCAGCTTGAAGAAGGCACGCCAGGGCCGTGCTAGGATCTGCCAGCTCTGGAAGAGCTCCACAAAGAGGCAGGCCAGGATGCCAAACTGAGAGCCAGCCGGACCCACCTGGGGGATGGTTGGGGTAGCTATAAGGCTGTAGGGCTGGGCAGGCCCCCTGGACCCCAGGCCTCATCTTTGTGCCCCACTTCCCATGGCCCACAGCATATTGGGACCGAGGACCCAATTGGAGATGCTCCCAGACAGTGCTCCATATGGACAGGTTCACAGCAGGCTGCAGGTGCACACGGAGGATCCCCACCCCGAGGCCCGGCCTTACCTCTGCTCGGTACGGCAGGAAGATGGCACTGGCCAGGTTGCCGGTGACACCACTTAGCAGGTAGATGATGGCTATGCGGTGCCAGCCTGCCAGCTTCTCCAGGTCCCGCAGGACGGTCATCTGGAAGCAGATGGACACCAGGCAGTGCAGGATCCTGTAGTCAGTGGCAGGTGGGGGTTGGGAGACTTTCAGCAGGGAAGTGACCTCTCTGCCACCCCCAGCCAGCCAATCCTGGGGACCCTGAGTCCCCCCACCCAGCCCACAGTGTCACTTGCCCGGCGTGCAGGAAGAGGGACAGCCACAGGCGGTAGAACTGGTCAGGCACCTCGGGGTTGAGGAAAGGCAGGAGCCCACACACATCATCCATGCAGTGCACCTGTGCAGAGCAGCATATCAGCACTCACAGCAGCTGGGGGAGGGGAAAGACGGACACTCCGGACACCTACCTGAGAGCAGAGCGTGGCCTCCTCATGGAAGTAGCCCCTCATGAAGTCACAGTACTCCCGGGAGGTGATCTCACACCTAGAAAGGCAGGCCGGGGTTCGGAGGCTGCTGCCTTGCCGAGGGGGATTGCTGACATCCAGGGAAAGTTTCAGCCGCACCTACCCACCTCTGTTGGCCCCGAAGAAGTCCAGACCCCCTCTAACCCCACACCCTTGGTATACTGGGTTATTTCAGGGTTTAGTCAGGGAGAAGGCACAGCCCTAGGACGACGCTCTGAGCCCAGAGACCAGCTGCACTCGCTCATACGCACACCTACCTGCCCTTGGTGCCAATGCAGCAGGGCCGTCCTGTGATGACACAGTCCATATGGGGATGGTTAGTGTGGTTCCCGGCGCTGTTTTTGGTGCAGATCTGGGTCACAAATGGGGACGAGCTGGGTCAGGGCCTCCCCCGACCTTTGGCCCCACACCATGTTTGGGGGTAGAGGCAAAGATGGGCGGGCTTGTAAAGTAGAAAATGGTGTGGCTTCCTTGACTTCAAGCAGAGGCCACCACACTCTGAGTCTCTATCAAACTGGAATCATGTCACTTGACCTTTCAAGTCTCCATCTAGTTCTCTTGATCTACTTGCTCAGAGGGGCAGGCGCTGGCTGATGGACAGGCTGTGCAAAGGCCAGGTGCACAGCATCTGAAAACGTGAGGTGGTCCCGTGATGGGAATCTCTGGCATCACCAATGGCTGGGGTGTGGCATTCTCCCCCACATGACAAGGAGGACCCCCTAACAACCCCCCACTGCAGCTCACCGGCCACTTGGTGATGTCTTCTGGCCACTCATGGGGGTCTTCAGAGGAGGGCTCATCACATACCCTGCACAAGCCAAGTATGTGGTCAGGCCCTGCTTCGAGCCCCTACCATTGGCACCCTTCCAGCTAAGTCACCAACAAGGGGAGCCCCCTACACCCTCTGCACCACAGCCCCCGGGGAAGGTGTAGACAAAGGCAGGTGAGAGAGCGGCCGGCAGGACTAACCTGGGATCCTGGTGGCAGACAGAGCCAAACTGTCTCTTATGGCCGGCAAGCTCTGGGGCGCTGGGATGGATGGGCCACTTCACCCACACTGCCAGCGTGGACTGTGGGAGGGGGACACAGGGTCAAGTCCAGTTGGGTCAGGGCAATGAGGGGCACTCAGGGAGTCAGGAGTCAAAGGCCAAACCACTGAGCTCTTCCCTCGGCTTCTACAAGTCACCCCCACTCTTGAGATACACATGCATGTTGGAAAAGACTCTTACAAGGAGTTCAACAGCATAATTCCTGTTAGCTGAAAATCAGAAACAACCTCTGTCCTCAATCAGGGAACTGGTATGGACTACGGCATCTCCATATAAGATGATGTGATTGGCCGGGCGCGGTGGCTCACGCCTGTAATCCCAGCACTTTGGGAGGCCGAGATGGGCGGATCACGAGGTCAGGAGATCGAGACCATCCTGACTAACATGGTGAAACCCTGTCTCTACTAAAAATACAAAAACTAGCCGGGCGCGGTGGCGGGCGCTTGTAGTCCCAGCCACACGGGAGGCTGAGGCAGGAGAACGGCGTGAACCCGGGAGGCAGAGCTTGCAGTGAGTGGAGATCGTGCCACTGCACTCCAGCCTGGGCGACAGAGCGAGACTCCGTCTCAAAAAAAAAAAAAAAAAAAAAAAAAAAAAAAAAAAAAAAGATGATGTGATTAAAGTTTGGATGAATCTTTTTCAAAAAATTGCTTAGTGGAAAAGAGGCCAATACCACTTATGTAAGCTTTAAGACACATGCTTGAAGAGCACCCCCAAATCAAAAGACCAAATCAGATGATGGTCTATGGAGCCAGGAGCTGGAGATGGGGGAGGGTGGGGATAAGGAGGAATGAATATGGCAAGATAGGCCTTGCACATAGGGACGGCGGGATGTGCCAGGAACGAGGGCGAAGGATCGCTCTGCTAAGTCTATCTGAAGTCTGAAGGAAAGAGCGACCACGAGGCAGACGAGGGTGGGGGGGGTCCAGGGCGGGAAACGCACCGAGCACTCCTCCTCCGAGGTCTGTACGCAGCCGGACCTGTCGTTGCGCACGCAGCAGGCCGAGTGCTTCTCGCGCTCCCGAGCTGAGCGAATGAAGCTGTGCACCTGCGGGTCCTGGCGCATGCAGGGGGAAAACTTGGCGCCCAGGTGGATGAGGGCCTCCTGCGGGCGAGGGAGACAAGCAGCTTCAGTCCGGGCCTCCTGCCCGCCGGGCACCTCCACGTCCCGCCCCCGCCGGCCCCGCCCCAACCCCGCCCTCACCGAGCTGGGCCCGATCCAGAAGTTCTCCTGCTGCACGTACTTGACGTTCTCGTAGACCCCGCGGTTCCGCAGCACCTGGGAGGTTGGGGAGCGGGATCAGACGGCCCGACTCGGGCCCTCTCCTCCTAGAGCGGGGCGGAAGGGGGTCCAGTGCCCAGACTCCACTCGTCTGGGCCCAGCAAAGGCACAAGGGCTCACCGAGTCCACCGTTTCATGCTGCGAGAAGCCCACTGGCGCGATGCCATAGATGCACACGGCTAGAATGGTGACGAGCGAGTGCACGAAGGTAAGCCAGTAGGTGAAGAAGGGCCTGCGGGGTGGAGCGTCAGCAGGGGCCTCATCCCCAACCCGGAGCCCCACCCTCCCCCAGGAGCCTCCATCCCAACCCAGGCCTTGCCTGCCACGTCTACCTGTGGTCGTCCATGTCCTCGATCTGGCGCTTGACAAAGCTGTCGATGCGCTTGCGGTAGGTGCGGTTGGTGAGCCTTCCCACCATGCCCAGCCCATACGGCCGCTTCTCCCGGGCGAAGAGCTTGCGCACCGGCACCGCGATGCGCTGGCCCCGCCGCGGCCCGGCGGTGCTCACCACCTCCTGTCGGAGCCGCACCTTGGGCTGCGGGGCTGCGGCGCCCTCCTTCTGCTTCCGCCAGCCTCGCTCCAGGGGCCTGGAAGGAGCCGGGGTTCATCCCCGCCCCAGCCCCCCAAGCTGCTGCCGTCGCTCCCCGGGGGTACCAGGGCACCCTGTCTCTATCCTGGTGAAGATGCTGGGCAAGTTGCCCAGCATCTGCCTCCTCCTTGCCCCCAACACTGCGCGCCTCCGGGGATGGCAGGGAGCCGGATCCGGGGCCCACTGAGTTCTGCAACTCAGCAAGTATCACCTCTGTCACCTCCGCCTCCCCGTTGGATTCTGTCCAGCCCCTGGGCTCTAAGACTGCTGTCCCATTCACAGGCTAGCCATGAGGCTGGGGCCATGCCCAGCCCTGGGTCTCCCACCCCCGGTGGCCAGTGAATTCCCAGTCCATCAGTCCATGAGGCTACCCCTTCCATCGCCCACAGAGGTGAATGCGATACTCGCTCAGCTGTTCCTGAGGGGCCCGGGTCTGTCTCTGGCCCCTTCCCTGCCTGCGGCACTCACAGCATCAGATGGCTACGCTCCAGCTCGCTGCGGTCCAGGGCCCCGCCAGTGAGGTCTGCCTGCTCCGGGGCCTTCTCCCAGTCCTTTAGTGCTGCCTCCGATGGGGACTCAAAAACTTCGTCTGGGTATGTGGAGAGCTCTTCATGGAGGATACCTTCCTGAGCAAACACATGAGGTCAGGGTGGACACAGGGAGAAGGGAACAGGGAGGGGGGGTGACGCCCTGGGCGCTTCTTACCCGGGCAAAGAAGGATGTGTCCAGCTCATCGGGGAAATCAGTTGTGTCCTCCTCCAGAAAGCTAGCTGGAGTGAAGCTTCGGCGCTGTGCCCGGCGCAAGGTGCCATCCCTAACAGAGCGGCCCTGGGGAGGGGAAGTGAGCATGAGACCCAGCTGCTGGCTCGGCCCCCACCCCCACCTTTTGCCCCTGCACCCACTTTCATCAGTGCTGCAGCGGCCCGGAAGCTCATCTTGGCCACCGACTCTCGCTTGCGCCGCCGCGGGAGCCGGTGGAAACCAGAGCGGGAGCTGGAGAAGGAGCAGAGGGAGGCAGCACCCGGTGTGACGGGAGTGTGAGGGGCACTCAGGCCTTCTGCAGTGTCATCTGCCACACGGAAGGCCCGGCCACGGGCCAGGGGGTCTATGATCTGGAGGAGGGGAGGAGATGCTGGAGTCAGGACCATGGGGGCTCCTAGCTCACCCAGACACACAGAGGCCTTGCACAGACAGTGTGACTACTGCTCCTGACTCCTCATGGGCCCCTGGACAGCTGTATGGGCACCACTCCCACCCCACAGCACCTAGAGGTCCTGCCTGGAATGCTCCCCCATCCAGACACTGGTCCCCTGGTGCAATCCCAAGACCATGTCCCCATCCCAAGGTACCCCTTCCCAGAGACTGTTTCAGGTGCCTTCACGGGCAGGCTGTCTGACTGCCCTTCAAGACTGTGAACTCTCAAAGAGTCTCTTCTGCTCAGGCTAGCTGTGTCTGCAGCCCCAGCCCCTGGGAGCAGAAGGAGGGGCCTGCAGGAGGCAGCAAGAGGCAGGCATACCTTCTGCATGCCCAGCTGGCATGGCCCCACATACAGTGGGGGTGGCGTCTCGGTGCTGGTCAGCGACACGTTGTCCTGGCTGGGCAGGTCCAGCTCCCGGAGGACCTGGGGCTTCAGCTTTCCATAGCGCTGGCTGCAGTGACGGATGCTCTTGCGCTGCCATTTCTGGGTGCTGTCACTGTCCTTGCTCACTCCAAACCAGTCAGCGGTCCCCCTGGCATGGCATGGACTCAGCAAGTGGCAGCCAGATCGCCCCCTCCCAGGCAGGGGACTTCAAAGGCCCTCCCCTGGGGCGGCATGCCCTGCCCCAGGCCTGCAGTCAATCCAGGGGCCAGGGTCTGGCTAGGCAAGGTCTAATAAGAGGATGAGTGGGTTCCAGCCACCCCCTGAACTGTTAGCCAACTTCAAGTTCCCACTAGACCACAGCTGGCAGGCCCTGCCCAGCTGAGTGCTTCATAGAGGCCCTAACCCCACCATCCCTGAGGGGCAGTTGAGGGGAGACACGGAGTCCAGAGAGGGCGCAGAGAGCTCAACCCAAGAGAGCTTGGCCCCAGGACACCACAGAGCTCAGACAGCAGGTGCTCACAGGCCCAGGCAGGCTGTCCACAGCACTTGGACATGCAAACAAAAACACTGCCAGCACCTGCCGTTAGGAGCCCCAGGGAATGCCAACCACGCTGGCAGCTCCCAAGAGGCCACATGCCAAGCACATGCCAGAAAGCACCAACACACTCATGACCTGTATGAGATACCTGAGCAGGGACCGAGAGAGAGACTGGCGCTGCGGGAAGGCCCTGCGGGCAGCCCAGGGACCCAAGAGGGGTAGAGTGTGGACACGGCCGAAGTGTACTTGTCGGTTGCTAAGAGGCCAGAGCATCCGGGTGGTGGAGACAGAGAAGGAGAGAGTGAGTGCTGAAGAGAAGGGAGTGGAGCACGGTAGTGGGGTGAGAGCGGTCAGTCTCCAGAACAGGAGGGCAAGGGGATGTGGGGACCAAGATGGAGGAGGAAGCTGAGACAGGAGGGCCCCTTGTTCTCATTCCCATCCTCAGTGTACCTGCCTCTGCCCTGCCAGCCCCCAGCTCCTACCCTGTGGAACAGTTGGGAAGTGTTGGTACCTGCGGATGGTCTGTGTGATGGACGTCTGGCGCTGCAGCACCGACCGCCGGAGCTCATGGTGGGGCGAAGAGATGTGGGCTGTCTCAGCTGGCATACTGACACTCCTCAGGAAAGCCTGTCGCCTCAGGGGCTGGGCAACAGGGTCATGGTGAGGGTATTGGACAGGGGGCACCCACAGTCCCTGCTGGCCAGGCCCTACCTGCAGGAAGCTGGGCTCTTCTGCTGTCGGGGGCACCGCAGAGGGAATGTCCAGCTTTAGCCACGGTGGCTTCTTGCGCTGCAGGCTGCTCGTGCTGTCCCTGCGGGCCTCACTCATGGTTCCCGGCAGAGCAAGGCAGGCCTGCAGGGCGTGGTGTGTTATTCAATAATGACAACGCTGACAGCTGAAGATTCATTGTGCCCAGACCCAGGAGGGAAAAGCAGTGATAAGCCCAACTGTGGTGCTCATGTCCCCCATTGTCAGAGCCCTACTATGTGCTCAGCACTGACTTGCTCTGTGCCAGCCTTGTTCACTCCAACAGACAGTGCTGGGCACATCCTAGGTCCTCAGACAACATAAGTCCATGGGACACCTATCTGAGCACCCACTGTGATCAGGATACTGCTCTAGGTGCTTGAGGCACATTGCTGGAGAAACGAGACAAAATCCTTGCCCTCCTGGAGCTTATAGTCTAGACAATAAACTTTTTAAATAAGTGAATGTACTGGTTAAAAGATGCTAAGCGTGATGGGGGAAAGAAAACAAACTAGGGTTGCTTGACGGGGGCAGTGAGGCCTCACTGTGGAGTGACATCTGAGCAAAGGTTTGAAGGAGGGGAGTGAGCATAGCTGGGGTTCCAGGGGTTTCCACACACAAGGAACAGCCGATGTGAGGTCTTACTGACGTGGGGCTCACCCTAGTCTGTGCCCAGGGCAAATCTCAGACCTGTCTTACCCAGGCCTCACCCTCTTACCCACCAAAACTTCCACTCCAGAGACAAAGGGCCCACTATGCACATGACAGCCTGTAAGGGGTGTGTGATCGGTCCACTGCATAGAGTCACCACATTCAGGAAAGACGGTGACAGAGCAGCAGCTGGTGGCCCAGGCTCCCGTGCACAAATGACTTTCCAGAAACCACCTGGGCGCAGACGCCATAGTGACCACCAGGTGGCAGCACGTGCCCAGAAACAGCAGTGAAGCTGCTCGGCGCTGGGGCTGCCGGGCATTGCGTGGTCAGCTCCACCATGAGCATCCCAGGCACCTGGCCAGAGCCCAGGGGAAGGCCCCAGAGCAGAAAGACCAGGGTTCGATTCTGGCCACCACTGCCTGGCCATGTGACTATGACTCCATTTCCCCCTTACACCTTCCTGGCAGACCTGCAGCTGTCCCCAACCCAGGGGGACCACACAGGGATTCCAGTGGAGACCCAAGTTGAGAAGGGCCCCTGAGCATGACATGAGACAGATAGTAGGGGGCTGGCCGGAGCTTCCTGAAGCAATTTGGGACAGAAAACCCCAAATTCCTCAGCCTCTTTAAGGAGCTGCAGCCTCTGACAGGCTCGGAGCTGCAGGGTCTGCAACCCACCCACTAAGGCCCCAGAAATGGCTTTCACTCACAGGTCTCACTCTCAACTGCTTGAAGGAAAGTCTCACCTATGCTGTACAAATAGGGAAACTGAGGCCAGGAGAACACAGGCTTGCCTTGCTCAAGGTCATATATGGAGGGTAGCACAATTAGAGACAGCCCAGGGTGCTGTTCACAGTTCCTGATGGTCTCATGCCAACCAGGGACAGGCTTGGGACAGAGCTCACGGCTTCTTCCGACCCTCACTACCAGGGAATGGCTGGGAATGCTGCTCACAGCTCCTATGGGTCCTACATGGACCAGGACACAGGTGGGAGGGGGTCCTTCAGGGATGCCTTCTGTTGGCTCTTACCCTACCCCTCACACTACAGCCCCTGATCTGAGCTGACTGTGCACTTCAGGTCCCAGGTGAGAGTTGGGGGGCAAAGCTTTGGGGCACTCCCCAGACATGGTGCCCAGGGGTCGTTCCATCCACATGGCCCCCTAAGGCTGAGTTCCTGTCCCTGGCCTATACTTGGCCTGGAATCAGGGGCAAGAGCCAAGGGCGGCAGCTTGCCTCCACATCACTGGGAATCCCTCCAGAGCTCCTGGCCCATGCAGAGCCCCAGAGTGCAACAGGGTCAGACAGGAAGGCATCCTGGGAACTCCGTGGGTCAAGATCCCTCTGGGAACAGCACCAGGAGACCCCTCTGCATCTGATGCATGGCCCAAACCCAGCCCAGACCTGCGTGTCCTGGATACGGCCCAGCCACAGTGTGAAGGGGTCACAGCTCAATTTCCTCATCATCCCCCAGCCCTCTCTCCGCAGAGCATATGGACTGCAGTACCATCACCCTGCTAGTAAGGAATAGTCAGGAGGGGCCACCTCTGAGTCTCAGACACTAAGGGTGGAATTTCAGACAGCATCAGGCCTGTTGAGAAGGCAGGTGGTGCTCGGGAAGGGGCTTCGGGAACCCACAGTGCTGCGACAGCATTCTGAGTACACCCCCAGCATGTTCTCACCCAGAAAACGGACGGCTACTCTTAGTGAGGCCATTATGGGGGCCAGAGAGGAGCAGGGCCCAGAGTAGAGACTGGGGCCACTGCCAGGAATCAGCAGACTGAATCCAGGGGGCCAGCCTCTCCAGGAGTCTCCACCTGTGCCCAGCAGCACTAGGCAACATCCAGCTGGTTCTTCACTCAGGAGTGTGAATGACTTTCGCCAACAGAGACCTTTGCCAGCTGATGGGCTCACATACATCCATGATTCCCATGGCTCTGCTCTCCACCGCTCCTCACACCTGACTCCCTCCCATCGCAGAGCTCCGCAAATGTGCTCTGCCCAACCTCCCCTGCGTTGCAGGACCTGCAGCCTCAGGCTGCCCCACTCCCCAGAGGTGGTCCTTGGCCTGGATCTCCGGGTACAGCACAGGACAGGAGTTCATTCACATGTGTATGGGCCACTGTCCTGTCACTGCTGGTTCCACAGTGCTCAGGACCAGCCTGGTTTGAAGCCACCAATGGGTAAACTGATCACTGAAGAACACAGCCCATCCGGTCCCTAACCTGGGGTAAGGGGGGATTCCTCAAGATGACCCCTCAACTGGCTCTGGGAAGAGGAACTGTCTGGCATAAGCGGGTGCGAGCAGGAACAGTTAGAGGGTGAGAAGAGCTGACAGCTGTGAGCGTGCATGGGGAACCTGACCTCCCTCCCAGTACTGTCTCAGCCGGGGCCCACAGTCGGCCCCAGGAGGCACTAGAGTACTCAGCTCATGAGGGAGGCACCAGGCGCCATGCCTGAACATCCAGGTCTCCTGAGGTTCCCCCACCTCCACAAAAACCACTCCTGTGCTGGGAGTGCAGGCAGAAGGGAACCTGAGAACCCACTCAGTTACAGGTCCTGCGGATGGGCAGTGCTGGGTGTTCCAGCCTGCCCCACCCCTGTGCCTAGATCCCCATCTGGGCCTCGAGTGGGTGGGATTCACAAAGGAAGAGCTGGAGTAGGCGTGGGGAGAGGCTGGCCCAGGCTGGACAAAGAGTCTGGCCAGGGAGCGGCACATTGCCCTCCCAGAGACAGTGGCTCAGTGTCCAGGCCTTCCCCAGGCGCACAGTGGGCTCTTGTTCCCAGAAAACCCCTCGGGGGGATCCAAACAGTGTCTCCCCCACCCCGCTGACCCCTCAGTGTATGGGGAAACCGTGGCCCATGGAAGGCCTGACTGCCTGGGGTCACAGTATCTGAGTCACTGCAGCAGCATCACAGCTGCCAGCCCAGGCCCAGCCCCATCAGGAGACACCCAGAGCCACAGTGCATCCCAGGACCAGCTTGGAGACTGGGGGCAGGACTCTCAACGAGCCTGAGGGACGAGGAGGGTCAAGGGAGCCACTGGCGCCATGCACAGTGAAGTCCACTCTGGCTGCCTGCGGAGCCTGGTGTGGAAAAGCTGGGTGGGGGATGGTGGAGAGCCCTGTTAACTCAGGTTTTTGCTCTGGGGATGTCTGGGAACCCATCAAGCTGGCCGCGTGCACAGGTGCAGGGAGAGCCAGAAAGCAGGAGCTGATGCAAGGAGGCCACTGGGTACAGCCCAGGCTGATGCTCAGGCCCCATGTGTCTCCACCACCTACAACCCTAAGCAAGCCTCAGCTTTCACATTTGGAAATCAGGGGTCACAGCAGTGCCTGGCACAACAGGCAGCAGCTGACTCCACCACAGAGTGTCTGGTGCAGCCTGTGGGCACTTGGTACTCTCTGAGGGGCAGGAGCTGGGGGGTGAAAGGGCCCTAACTAGAGCATATGTAACAAGAGGGCAGCCCTGGGGACACCTGAGGACAGGACCCTCCAAAGGTGTCGACTTTGGGAAAAGACTAGAGAGAAGCTCTGGCCAGTCCGGGCACAGACAGTGGCCACAGCCAGTGTGGAGCTGCATCCTCAGGTGTGAGCAGCAACCACGTCTGTGCTCAGGCCTGCCCTGCACACTCACAGGACCATGCTGGCAGGGACAACCGGCGGCAGAGCTGACTACCAACCCCAGGACCAGAACCGTCAAGTCTGGGCTCTGCTCCGCCCAGGGAACTGCCTGCTGCCAAGGTCAGCTGAAGCAAGGGGCCTCACCCCAGGACACCTGCCCAGAAGTGTCCTCAGCTCACCTGAGCCTCATCCCAGGGGGAGGTGGCTCCTCCAGCATCCCCACCCACACGCTGCTCTCTGACTCTCAGTCTTCTGTTTGACTCCTAATCTGAAGCTCAATCCTAGATCTCCCTTGAGAAGAGGGTTGCCAGCTGTCTGGCAGCCTGGCATCCAGGTCTTCTGGATTAATGAAGGGAGAGTCACCTGGCCTGCCTTGCCTGTTAATGGCATCATGCTGAGAATGATATTTGCTAGGCCCTTTGCAAACCCCAAAGTGCTCTTCAACCCTCCCAGTGAAGCCTCTTCTTTTCTGTGGAAGAAATTAGGTTTAGGGTGGAACAGGGCAGGCCTAAGACCTTTGCAGGGTCCTCTCCAGGTCCCCAGCAGGACACACTGGCTCCCTACCTCCCCTCATCACCCTAGACAAGTAGACAGAACAAGAGGTTTCCTGCTACAGGCCATCTGTGAGGGAAGCCGCCCTAGGGCCTGGAGACACAGGAATCCCTGAGGACCTGACCTGGGAGGGTAGTGCACAAAGGGGCCAGCATTGGGGAGGGGGCGGGGTGCTGTCCCAAGGTTCAGCTAGCAAATGTAGCACAGGGGTCACCAAAACTAAACCCCCGACTCAGTTGGGTCTGACAGTAGCTGACATGGCAGACACACCCAGGAATCAGGGGATGCCAAGTGCAGGTCAGGGCACCTGTCCAAGCCACACAGTCAGAAAGGGGATGGCAGCAAGGACTTAGCTACACTAGATCCTGGGTGTAAACTGCCTGGTAAGCTGGTCACTTCTAGTCCCCAGTCTGGAGTCTAGCTGGGTCCCAGGAGTTAGGCGAAAGCACTCTTCCCAGGCTGGAGGTGGGAAAGGCCCACATCCCATGCACATGTCTGACCAGAGGACAGATGGACAGCCCAGTTACCAGTCAGAGCCCTCCAGAGGTATCCCTGACTGACCCTACACACATGCTCCCGGGTGCCCAGGCACCCAGGCGACCCCGCAACCCCCTCCCAGGACCCACCAGAAGCAGGACAGGACTGGAGAGGCCCCAGCAGGGAAACCAAGTCAGAGCAGAAATGGCTTCGGTCCTCAGCAGCCTGGCTCAGTTTCTTCAAACCAGATCCTGACTGATCACATTGGTCTGTCTAACCCCTGGGAGGGGTCCTCCGTATCCATCTTCCAGATAAGGAAACTGAAGCTCAGAGAAGCCAGTCACTGCCTGAGGTCCCAAAGCCTATAAGGGAGTTCAAAGCCTTGGGCCAGGTCTGCCCAGGAGCTGTGGTAGAAGGGACCCTGTCTGCAGACCCCCAGAAGACAAGGCAGACCACCCGGGTTCTTCAGCCTTGTGGCTGTGGACAGCTGTCAGACCCCTCTAAGACCCCTTGCCACCTGCTCCATCAGGGGCATCTCAGTTGAAGGAGGAAGGAGTCACCCCCCAAATCGTCCAACTCAGAAAACAGGCAGAGAAGCCAAGGAATCCAATCATTAGGCAAAATGTGATCCTGGCACAGACCCTGAGGAGAGGGAACTGGAGCCAGTGTGGGGGAGGCCCTCACAGCTGAGAGCAACTGGGGGTGCCCTGGGCAGGGACTGTAGCTGGGAAGATCCTAGGGGAGGGCCTGATGATCCCTGAAAGGCAGGGGAGACCTGGGCGACTCCCCCTAAACCAAGAGCGCCCCCTAGAAAGTCAGTTCCCCAAAGTGGGGGTTTGTCTGGCCAGCTCATGAGAGGTGCTGGTTGAGGGACAACAGCAACCCCCCTACCCTGCTCCAGGGGCCTGTTTGTGCAATGGAGGCCGGCCAGCCAGTGAAGGCTGCTTGGAAGGGCTGGGAAAGGGTCTGAGGCCCAGTGTCTTCAATCTGGGACCACCAGACTCCCATGCACTCCATTGGCCCCTGCCCCATTCTCAGGAAAAGGGGCCCAGCTTACCCAGAATGAGCCCTGGTGGCAGGGGGCTCTGCCTCAGGGACTCCTTGAGCCCCAGTCAGCTGCTAGGTCCCCAGCTTCTGCCCACCCTTGGGGTGGGGGCTAGGAGGTTGGGGTTGGCTCCACAGGGGTGGGGAGAACTCAGCCTGGGACTGCCCGGGCATCTAGCTGGGTCAAACCTGAAAAGCCAGTTTCATCCTTGAATCTTCTCCCGGTCTCCAACAGGAAGTCCCGTTGGCGGGTGGGAGTTCCCAGGATAGGAGTAGGGCCTCCAGACCTAGGCCCCACCCACCCAGACAGACACACATTCACAATCTCAAGCGGCACACACAGAAGGAACTCTGGTCAGGACCACCTGGACTGGAAGCAGGCCTTGGGGGGCCAGGGAAGATCCCCTGCCCATTCCCCACCCAGCCCCACAAACATGCCCCCAGCATGACAGCCAGCCAGGCCCTCTGCCAATGCCCTGAGCATCTGGGGTCTGGCTGTCACGCCAGCTGGGAGAAGGCCTGTCCCTGTTGGCCTCTGCACACAGAGTGAGGGTCTGTCTTTGGGAGTCGCTCCCAGACCACCCTGGAGCTTCGATGTTTACAGATCAGGGAGTCAGTCCCCCACCCCCAGCTCCACGGCTCCTGCTATTCCCATCGGTGAGGGCGGCTGGGACAGGGACTCCTGGACTCCATCCCGCCTTTAGCTGGAGTTTCAACTTGGAGACACCACCCACCGGTGGTGGCCGGGAAGGAAAATGTAGTGGGGGGAGCTCAGAGGAGCCTAGGGCACCCCCGGACTCTAGCCTCCCGCTCCTGGGACCCTCAGCTGTTGGGCGGGGGCTGGAGCCGAGCTGTCCGGCCAGGCCAGGCCGCTGGGACTGCTAATCCGGCCACGGGCTATTTTTGCGGCGCGCCGGGCGAGGAATCCGGGGCTGGGCCGCCTCGGCGGGCGACTCAGAAAACTCCGGGAAGAAAAGTCCGGCCGCCCCAGCGAAGACTCGCCGCGATCCCTCCCCAGCCCCGGCCCCGGCCCCGACACGGCCCTGGCCGCTCTGAGCAGCTCCGGCCACGGGGTGCTGAGGACGCGCCCCGCGCTCGGCGGACGCTGCCCCGGAACCCGCCCGTCCCCGGTGCCCTGCGCTCCCGGTCGCGCTCACTCACCGCCGCCGCCGGGGGTCCTTGGGGGGTCCTGAGGGCTCCAGGGAGGAGGGGCTGCCGCCGCTGGCCGGGAGGGCGCCCGCGCCGAGTCCCCGCCCGCCCGCCGGTCCGGCCCGCCCGGGAATGCCATGGAGTGAGGGGCGTGCGCGCCGGGGGCGGGCCCGGCCGGAGGGGGCGGCCGCGCTGACTCAGGGCTCAGGAATGCGCGCCGCCCGCCTGCCCGGCCCAAGTCACCACCTCCCGGAAGGCCGCTGGGCTCCCTTCTCCCCAGAGTCCGCCCGTGGGGACACCTGGGGCTGAGGTCTCCAGCGCCTTGACCCAACGGAGGGCCTGTTGGGAGCTGATGGCAGCATCAGCGCTGGGCAGCTCCGCCTCTCCCCTGGCTCCAGATTGAGGCCTGACCTGTCGTCCTGCCCAGATTTGTGCTGAGAAGACCGGGAGTGAGGAGGGAGGGCAGGTACCGGGTAGAGGGTGGAGGATGGGTGGGTATCCCTGGCTCCCCTAAACCCGACCTCCTCCAGAGGCCCACACTCACCCAATCCCACTGAGCACTCAGTTCCCTCACACACATTCATGTGCACCGATCACTCACAATCATACACACACCTTCCCACATTCTTCCACTTCATGCGTTCATTCGCCTACACATGCACAGGCTCACATGCACCCACCTACTCATGTACATCTTTCTATGGGTACATGCTCATACCACTCACACATGTGCACGTGTGCTGTATACAGTGATGCACACACTCAGTTCAGGACCACAGTAATTACCCCTCCCCCTGCCCCGTGCCCCCACCCCCAGAAGCCCTGCCCCACCAGCAAGCACTCAGGCCAGGCTGCACCAGGCCCCACCTGAAGCCACTGAGCAGAGGCAGTGCAGTGTGTGGTGTCCACTCTGGGCTCTTGTCACTGTCTCAGAGCTTAGCAGCCACCCCGGGGTGGGCTCATATCCCTGCACAATCTGGGCTGCACTCAAAATGGCCCTCTACTTTCAGCTGGGGCTGCTAGTGGGAGTTTCCCAGCATTTCTCTCCTGACACTGGGTGGGTTGACCCACCCAGGGCACATCCCAGGGTGGGGGAAAGGGGTGCCAACAGCAGAGTACAGGCAGGGTTGTCCAGGAGCTCTGAGTGGTAGGGGCCGAGGCTTCCTCTGGAGAGAGGGTACAGGATCCCTTCTTCCCAAGGGTCCCTAAGGATCCCTCTACAGGGTGCCAACTCAGGCCTCGGACAAATGTGTCTTCAGGCCCTGTGCTGGTCACAAGGCTGCTGCTGCTTCAGTGCCATCCTCTGGGTCTGGGTGGCACCAGTCCTCTCCAAACTGAGCTGTGGCACCCAGTACCCAATGCAGACAATGGCCTGGTCCTTGGCTACACAGAAAAGAAAGGGGACAATTTGAACTAAAGGTGCTGGTACACTTATGGGTAGATCCCAGAGCCCGGGCAAGAATCCTCTGCCCATATCCTTGTCCGTGCCATGGAACAGGGTGGTGCCTGCACATAGTGGGTCCTCTCTGAACACAAGCAATATCAACACAATTCTCATGGAGAAGGAGACAATGAAAGCTTTGGAGGGGGTGGAGGGGAACTCCACCAGGGGGATGACTGCCAATGCGTCAGGGACACCAGGTGAGAGGGAGCCTGCCCCGGTGCCAACACTCAGTGCTCCTGTAGCCTGCATGTGCCACCCCTCCCATGCCAGGCTCACAGCCAGAGACAGGACAGTCTCCGTGCTTAGCAATATTGACCCCTGCCAGGGATAAGCAAGCCCTACCGGGCCTGGATGCCCAGACTTGGCTGGCAGGGCCACAAGTGGTGTCCTCTCTGGAAAGCTGGGGACTGGGCTTGCCACCAAAGCATGCCACAGCTGGGCATCTGGTGTCAGCAGGTCTCCTCCTGCAGTGGACGCTGTCAGACCCCACCCAGACACGCTCCAAGTCCCAGACACTCATCGCCAGCTGCCAGGAGCACCAGCCACAGCTGGCTCTGAGCTGAAACACCCCACACCCAGCAGTCACCTTCGGCGGAGAGCATGCCCCAGTCTGCCCCTGCAGACAAATCCCCATCTTAGAGCCTGTGTCCAGGAATCCCCAGGTTCTCAGCCCACCCTGGCCTCCTGAGTGAGGTCATCAGAAGGATCATCACAGGGGGTTCAATACATATGTGCTCAGTGTCAGGCCTCTGAGCCTTCAGATGGCCTGAAGCAAGTGAAGAATCACAGAAGAAGTGAAAATGACCGGTTCCTGCCTTAACTGATGACATTACATTGTGAAGTTCCTTCTCCTGGCTCAGAAGCTCTCCCACTGAGCACCTTGTGACCCCCACCCCTGCCCACCAGAGAACAACCCCCTTTGACTCTAATTTTCCGCTACCTACCCAAATCCTATAAAACGGCCCCACCCGTATCTCCCATTGCTGACTTTGTTTTCGGACTCAGCCCACCTGCACCCAGGTGAAATAAACAGCCTTGTGCTCACACAAAGCCTGTTTGGTGGTCTCTTCACACAGACAATGCATGAAACTCAGGACTGTACCCAGTCCACATGGACAACTATGTGCACATATGTGTGCTCTGCCTCATGCTTGCCCTACTACTCTCTGTTCTGGTGGAGGAGCCCCCCTATACGGAAACCCAGCTCCTGGCCCCTCTCCTCCCGCTTCCTACACCCTGGAGAAATGGAAAACAGCTACAGTTGCCCAGCACTCACAGGGCTGGTGGGCAGGCGTCTTGAGAATGGGTGGGTGTCTAGACCAACCCCAGGGTTTATGGACCTCACACCAGGACACGAGAGAACAGGAGCCCTGACCAGTAAGAGAAGTGTTCCCAACAGCTACCCCAGAATCCTCAGCTACCCCAGAATCCTCAGCTCAGCTTTCAGGCCACAAGTAATCACCCAAGGGGTCAGACCCTGGGCTTTGGAGAGTCCCTAGAATGATCAGAAGAAACTGCCCCTGCCTGGGGAGCTCCAGGGATGGGCCCATGACCAGCTCCTGGCTATTTGGGGAAGAGGCAGAAGTGGGCCAGGCCAGCCAGTGGCCTGAAGTCATAGGCTATTTCTGAGGCAGCTGCCCCCTCCCCATATCCCAGGGTTTGGCAAGGGGTTCCCATAAGCACCTGGGCCCAGGGCCCCGCAGCACAGCCCCAGGCAGGGAGGATGTAGCTCACACACACCCCACTTCGGCCTGCCCAGTGGCTGCCTTCTCTGCCCAAGGAAGCTTTGACCCTCCAGGGATCACCAGACACAGAGGGCGCTGGAAACCAGTCAAGAGGCCAGCAGCCACCCTGCTAGGAAGCTGCCAGCTCAAAGCTGTGTAGAGGAGCCCATGGGCTCTGACTTGACACCCGCTTCAACAGTTGTCAGCACCCCCCTCCATCAGAGAGAAGACAGAGACAGCGTGCTGGGCACCCTGGGGTCCTGAGGCTGATACTAGAACCCTGGCCCCTGTGGCCGACAGAGCCACATCTCTCAAGGACTTGCTTATAAAGGCTCCAGTGACTGATGGCCACGCCTCCTACAGCTAGAGGCAGCTCCAGCCCCTCCACAGCCTATGGCCTGTTGTGGAGGTCGGGGGTCAGGGCTGCTCACCCCAGTACCAATACTAGCCTTCACTCCTTTCAAAGCCTCGAGGGTGTCCTCATCTCCATCTTCCACTGATATCCTTGCCTCCTCCAACAAGCCTGTTCCAGCCCAGCAGTGGGGCAAACTGGGGACAGAGGAGGCCCCAGGCCCCCCTCCTCTCACCTGGCACCACTTTCTCTTGCCCCGGACCAGCCCGCCAGACCACTCTGCAGGCCACAGTTGGAACTCTCATCCCACCACTTCCAGCCTGTGGTGGCAGCCTTAGACCACAAACCAGGAAGTCGGGGGGGGGGGTTGTGGAAGGGTGTGGGGGGGGTGCCCAGAGATTGCACAACCCGCAGCACTCAGGCCAGAACATCTGGAGAGGTTGGTTGCTGGCGCCCCAGCGCCAGCCTCTCCACCTCCTGGGGCAGGGGCCAGTCTGCCCTTCAAGTGATTCTCTTTCCTGATAAGAAAGGTAGGGATAAAAACACCCCTCTGGGAGTCCCTGGACTCCCCATGATTTCTGCAAGGACCATGTATCACTTGTAAAACCAGAATAAATATAAGTACAAAGTAACACCCATCCTCTCCCTGCCCATCAAGAATACAAAGGCTCAACTGGGGCCTCAGTTTCCCTACTAGACCGAGGGGGAGCACTGGGAGGATGGGGGACTATTCCCACCGGAAGGAGAGACTTATTGTTTGGAAGGCATGGCTGCAGGGGATAAGCAGGGAGGGTGTGGGATCACATCCAGGGCTGCTTTATAAACATGGATTGATGACACATTGTGCCCCCACCCCCGGAAGCGGCACACAGTGCTACAAACAGCTGGTGGCTTCCAGGAGGCAGCTCATGGCCCCTCCCTCCCCAGGAAGTCCTGGCTGGGGCCCATGGGAGTGGGACGGCTGGTCAGAGGAGGAGACGCAGTTGGAGACCAGGGTCCTGCTATGTTAGCCTTTCTGTAGGACCAGGTGTCACACTCATCTGAGGGCTCCACACATGGCCTGTGTCTGTCCTGCCCAGCGTCTCCCAGCTGACACAGTCAGGTGCCCAATTGCTCAAGGCCTTTTCAGGTGCCCCTTTCCAGGAGCAGGGTCACAGAAATCAAAGACAGCTCAGGAAAAGCCCCTCAAGAGTTTTTGTATGGCAGAGGTGGATTGTGGGGTGGGACTGTGCCTGCCATAGGGGAGGGGCCCTGCAGACCCAGATAAACCCCCAAGTGGCCAGAAGTGGGGGATGGCTCTGCTGGGTGCTGGGGCTGCCAAGAACCATGGGAGCCAGCAGTGTTCCCAGCTCCCTCAGGGCCCGTCCCCTAGGCCCTTCTTTCCACTGAGCCAAGCACCGTCCCTGCCCCTGCCTAGGGGCATGGATCTGACTTGAGAGGTAGTGAGAGGTTACAGGCCGCTGGGCCTTGCGGAGGCCTCAGAAGGCTGCGCACTGACAGGCTGTGTTCAGTCCTGGTTTGGCCTCAGTCTCCAGAAGAGGCTGGCTGCGCTCCAGCACGCCCAACCCAGAAAGTGGGCGAACTCCCTTCAGCATCCTTGGGCGGAAAGAGGGATGGGGGCTCTGCGGCAGAGGCAGAATCCGCACCGCTCCCTCCTTCCTTCCCCCCACCAGGCTGTGACAACCCCGGACCAGGGGCGGGGGCTTCCGCACAGGCCTGGAGTCCATTTCCTGGATAAGGACTCCCTGGCCCACTCCGGACTACGGCTGGGGCGGTCTCCCAGGCGCGCACTCCGCAGGCACCCCACCGGAAAACACGTCTGCGGCCTGCGCCCTCCCCCAAAGCACGACCACTCCGCCCTGGCCCCTCGAGGACCCACTCAGGTTCACGATGGGCCCGTCCTCTTGGTGGTCTGACCACCCGCTGGTGGAGTGGGCTCTGAGGCCGCCAGGCGACCAGGGCGCAGGCGGGGACGGACAAACGGTCATTGGGAGCGGCGCCGGGGCACAGTGGGGTGCTCGCCCCACCCCCACCTGCCCCGTCCCCGCTGTCGCTCCGCAGGCGCCGCATCAGGCCCGGGCCTGGGTCCAGAACTGGCGGTGGGCGCTGGGAAGAGGATCCACCTCCGTGTGGTCTGCCCCGCCCCGGGGCCGCAGCCCGTTCCCTCCGCTCACTGCCCCCGCCTTCCCGGCTTCCGTCCCGTTCTGCGCAGGCGCCGCTCCGCCCCGGTACCAGCGGTGCTTCCGGGGTCGGCGGCGGCTGGGGTCGGCGGCGGCTGGTTTCTCTGCCGGGGTCTGAGCCCCACGAAGCCCCGACCCGAGCTGCCGGATGCCTGCGCGCAGCGGGGTCCAGGTGAGCGCGCGCCTCGGCCGCCCCGCGGAACAGACGCGCCCACCCCAAGGCGCAGCAGCGAGCGCGGCCGCCGGAGCGGGAGTACCGGGGACGGGCGTACCGCCCACCGCCCCGAGGGTTGGGGCAGAGCCAGAGCGTAGGCAAGGGCCAAGTTCGGGCCGAAAGCAGGGGCCGCAGCGCCCAGGGGCAGAGCCCACGGCGCGTTGGCAGCGCGGGCCGAGTGCGGAGACGGTCACGTCAGCGTCCTTTCCAGGCCGACTGGCAGTCTCCGTTCGACATGAACGTCAGCACTCCCGTTAAAAATAATGCATCTCTCCCACGCCAGGACTTAGGTGCTGCTGAAGACCAGCCCTCTGGGTGCTGCCAGGCCGACGCGCACCCGCCCCCTATATCTTCCCTCCTCCTTTGCCCCAGGACAGCTGAGGATGTGTGGTCAGGTTCCCCCTACACATGGGGAGGCCACAGGTGGGAGGCTGGGAACCTGCTGGGTCTCAGCAGACCCTCCTAGTCCCTCAGGAGACCTTGCCTTTGCCCCACTTGCTCGTTATCCAACCTGGGTCATGAAGCAGAGGACAGTTAGGGACCCTGAGCACATGCGATGGGGCCAGGCCAGTGGTCACCCCGGTACTCACTCCTCCCTGTGTGTCAGGCCTTGGGGGCCATTCCAAGGATTCTGACACACTGGGATCCCTGCTAAGGCCCTGCCAAGGTCCTGGCTGTGTTTTGAATTCCTGGTAAGGGTTGGATTAAAGGGCAGGGTTCCAGAAACCAGCTCAGACGTTTGCTTGGGACCTGCATGATGAGTGGGAATCAGAGGGCCCCAGCCCTGCTGTCCCAGGCTCCAGCCACCATTGGCTCCCCAGGTCGTGCAGCCTGGGCCCCCACGCTGTGCAGCTCGCACATATGTGGGGCAGAGCAGCCACCCTGCCACCACCAGCAGCCTCCATCAGATGTAATCATTTCCCGAGGCCTCGAGTGTGTCGGGGTGTTTGTGCCTTATAACTACCCACTGGATGGTCACCCCCGCTTTGCAGATGAAGAAACCGAAGCAGGTGGTCAAATCCAGTCTTTGCACTTCCTGAGCCTGACCTTACCAGACCGCTGTCTTCTATTTGGATGCTTATTTATTTATTTTTCCCATTACAGTTTTCCCGAAGGATGGGGCAAAAAAAGCAGCGACTAGCCAAAGCGGAGCAGCCACACAGCCCGTCTGACACAGCCCAGGCGCCTTGCCCCAAGGAGCCCTGTTTGGGACCACCCACCACCCTGGGCCCATACTGCAGCATCTATTTCTCAAGCCCGAAGGGCCACCTTACCCGACTGGGGTTGGAGTTTTTCGACCAGCCAGCAGTCCCCCTGGCCCGGGCATTTCTGGGACAGGTAATGTGAACATAGCAACGTGGTCTCTCCTAAAGTGCCTGTCACTGCAGTTGTCCCTGAAGCCCTGTCCGCTGCCTGCTGGGCTTGGCCCTCGGTTAGTCCTCCTTGTCCTCGTGCAGTTAGCTGCTTTGCTCACACTGGTCCCTGGATAGCTCCTCTCAGTTGCCTGAGATCATCTGGGAAAAATGTGGAGATTGTCAGTGTTGTTTGCCCAGGGTGCAGCAGGGGTGCCACTGTCTACCCCCCAACTTCTGGCATCTAGGGCAGGAGCACTTGCACTGTTAGCCTTCCTCACCTGGAATCCACCTCATAGTTTTTCCACACATGGGGACTGTGGCTGTGGCCAGTGTTTGGCTGCCTCTTTCCACTGTAGTGGCTCTCACTGCAGTGCTGGCTTCCCAGGGCCCCTGCAGCTCAGTGTAGGTCCAGGATGTGGGCTCTGCCTATCAGACTTGGAGTAAGAAGGAGGGACTGCCCAGGGCCCATTCTGGTGGGGCCTGCGGTGCAGGCTGTCCCCACAAGCAAATGCTCACACAGCCATGGCATCTTGGCTGGATCTGTTGGGAGCACCATCTGGGTGGTGGTCCTTGATGCCAAAGCCCCAGGCCTGCCTTTCTGGTTCTCCAGAGGCTCCAAGGCCTTCTCTTTGTCCTTTAATGAGCCTACTTTTAGGTTATAATCACCAAAAAGAGCCAGAAGAGAAATACCAGTGGCAGGAATTGGGTGCTAAAGAGCAGACCCTAGAATGTGGGCTTGATCTCGTGGAGAACAAACAACATTCTGTCCCCATGTGGATCCTTCTAAAAGCACCTTAAATGGGCGTTTGTGGCCAGGCACGGTGGCTCACGCCGGTAATCCCAGCACTGTGGGAAGCCGAGCTGGGCAGATCACGAGGTCAGGAGATCGAGACCATCCTGGCTAACACAGTGAAACCCTGTCTCTACTAAAAATACAAAAAATTAGCCAGGTGTGGTGGCAGGTGCCTGTAGTCCCAGCTACTCAGGAGGCTGAGGCAAGAGAATGGTGTGAACCCGGGAGGTGGAGCTTGCAGTGAGCCAAGATCACGCCATTGCACTCCAGCCTGGGCGACAGAGCGAGACTCTGTCTCAAAAAATAAAAATAAAAATTATCTGGGCATGATGGCGGGTGCCTGTAATCCCAGCTACTTGGGAGGCTGAGGCAGGAGAATCGCTTGAACCCAGGAGGCAGAGGTTGCAGTGAGCTGAGGTCACGCCATTGCACTCCAGCCTGGGCGACAGGGCAAGACTCTGTCTCCAAAATAAAAAATAAAATATGATGGACATTTGTGATACAACAAAACGGTACATGTGGCAGGTGCATCATAGGAGCAGGGCAAGGGCCCAGTGTGGCATCAGGGACCACAATACGTTTGTCTCTATTCAGCATCTTTGGCAGGCCACAGTCATGCCCACTTGAGCTCATTGGTGGACAAGATGATGTCCAGCAGAGAAGAGGGTGTTTCACTGTGTGTCCCTTGGATTAGGGACAGCCCTCTCCATAACCTCCCAGTGGATGCCCTTGCAGACCTCTCAGCCAGGCTTGGGTCATGCACTCATCCCTAAAAGCGTCACTGCAGTGAGTTGCCATGAAATCCCAGGCCACTCTCTGGGCTGAGGAGGGTGTGGTGTCCCCCAGGAGGTTCTGCCAGCAAGGAAGAGGGTGTGTGTGTTGGCAATGGGGGTGGGGTGAGAGGCTCCAGTATCTGCCATTGGTGGAACTGGTATCAGAGTGAAATCCAGATCAGAAATTGGGGATGAAAAAGGAAACAGTGAGAAAAGGGCTGTGGGAACCTCCTCTCCAGAATGGTAGTTGGGCCCCCACAGTGTGCCCCCATGGAGGCAGAGGAGTGTGCAGCGTGAAGCCCCTGGAGGGGCATTCCCTCTAAGCTCCAGGGAAGATGGAACAGGGCCACCCTTTCTCCCCTGGACGTGGTCTGGCCAAGCCTGGCCTGTTCACTTCTCTCCTCACGGCTCTGGATGCCTAAGGATTTCTGGGCTTCCAGCACAGGCACTGACCCCTTCTTTCCTCCACCCAGTCTCCAGGAAGGCCTCCTGAATGCTCCCCCAGCAAGCATCTGAGCCCCAGTGCCCCTCCTCCCCAGCCCATGAGGCTGACCATGGCCTCTGGCACCACAGGGCTTCCTGGCTGAGGTGAAGGTGGTCTGGCTCTCCAGGTGACGCCTCTGGCCTAAAAACGAGACAGCTGCTGGGGATGTGGCTGGTCCCCAGTGCTCTGCTGTTAACTCGGGCTCCAGGCACTGAGGGCACAACTGTTGGCCGTTATCAAGACCGTGGTCCAGGCGGGGGCACCGTGGGGCAGCTGGGCCTACTGCTCAGAAAGGCCTTAGAGCCGGAGGGTAGGAGCTTAGTATGAGGGTCCCTTGTGGCCACCTCAGCAGCCCAGGTTTAGGGGACTTCACAGGCTCTGGGATTTCCCAGGTAGCTGGTGTGGGGACATCCTTGGGGTCCTGTGCCTTCCGTGATGCCTGGCCTCATCCTAAATGCTATGGTTTTCTCAAGGGTACTTGGGAAGGGAGGAAGCTGGGGAACGGAGGGCCCTGCGGAGAGGACTTGGAGGTTGACCTGCAGGATGAATCCACGACTGCTGGTTCCCAGCCCCGCCCTGGCTGTGGCCTGAGGTGTCTTCGGCCTGCGGTCTGGTGGTCTAGCAGGGCTGGAGGAGACAACTGGTGCCCTCAACAGCCATATTCAGGCTCGGCAGGAGCAAGAGAAGAGGCAGGATGGAGACGGGGCAAGGTCCCTGGCTACCCTGAGCTGGGGAGATGAGGTCCAGGCTGGGCACTGTTAGGGTGAGTGGACCCCCATCCCTTCCTGCCCTGAGCAGAAACTTACTTCGCACAGGTCCTAGTCCGGCGACTTCCTAATGGCACAGAACTCCGAGGCCGCATCGTGGAGACTGAGGCATACCTGGGGCCAGAGGATGAAGCTGCCCACTCAAGGGGTGGCCGGCAGACCCCCCGCAACCGAGGCATGTTCATGAAGCCGGGGACCCTGTACGTGTACATCATTTATGGCATGTACTTCTGCATGAACATCTCCAGCCAGGGTGAGCAGTGCTGGGGCATGGGGGCTTGGCGGTTGAGGGGGCTGGAGGGCTGGCAGAGCCCCGTCAACTAACAGCCAGGGGACCACCAGGAGGACTGAGGTGGGGCAGATATTTGAGCAAGGAAGTGCCATTTCCAGGGCCAGGTCAGGGTTTCAGGAGCTCTGGCTGCATTGACGGGGCAAGGTTGGTTAGAGGAGTAGAAAGGGTTGGTTGGGGCCAGTCGTGGTGGCTCACACCTGTAATCCCAGCACTTTGGGAGGCTAAGGCAGGCAGATCACCTGAGGTCAGGAGTTCAACACCAGCCCGGCCAACATGGTAAAACTCCATCTCTATAAAAAATACAAAAATTACATGGTCATGGTGGTGGGCACCTGTAATCCCAGCTACTAGTGAGGCTGAGGCAGGAAAATCACTTGAACCCAAGAGGTGGAGGTTGTGGTGAGCCGAGATCATGCCACCGCACTCCAGCCTGGGCGACAAGAGCGAAACTCCGTCTCAAAATAAAAAGAAAAGGTTGGTTGAAGTGGAGGCAGAAAGGAGGCCGAGGACACAGGTGTCACCTGCCCTTGATGGAGGCAGCACATGAGGATTACAAGCCAGTTTGAGAAGAGGATGATCGCAGTGCTAAGAAGAGCAGAGTGGTCAGGTTGCCAAGGATGGAGCAGTGGGCATAGCAGCGGGGAGTTAGGGTGGGCAGAGAAGTAGGCGAGGACAGGGAGGTTTGGTAAGAAGAGATCAAAGGGTCGTATTTTTGTCAGGATGTGGGACTTGGATGTGTTGTGTGTGAAGGAGCCAGGGCAGGGGGGTGTGGTGATGAGGGTGGCCAGGCTTTGACTCATTTGCAGGCGGCTCTGTGGGGGCTCAGTGGGACCGTGAGGGGCATGTGTCTTGCACTCACAGGGATGTAGAGGGTCCCGCTCCTTCCTACTGAGGTGGGTCAGGGTGGGCAGCGGGCGCCCCACCTGGTGAGCTGGAAGCAGCGTGGGAATCACAGAATGGACGGGAACTTAAAGGCTTTGCTTGGCCTTGATTTTAGCTTGAAATACTTTGACAACTGGCTGGTAAAGGGTATCTGCTCAGAGGAATGCCGCACTTGCTGGCTTTACTGGAGGGCATGGCTTCGTCCACTAGTGCTCGCCCCTGGCTCCTGATGCAGAGGCTCACATGGCCACAGCCCAAGAGTGGGGACTGGCTTGGCCACCTCTGGTCTAAGCCTCTGACCCCCAGGTGGCTGGGAGGGCCAGGGGTGCACAGGTGAGTCACAGCAGGTGTCTCCAGGGAGCTGCCTTGCTGGAGGGCTAGGGCTCCTCTGGCCAGGGTCCAGGTCATCATTGTCCCCAGCTGGGAATCCAAGGGACCTTTCCAAACCTGCAGGGCAGAGGAAATTCAGATATCTGTGCTTGAGTGAGCCCCTGGGCCCAGGAGCCTTCACTTGCTGTCTCTGCTTCTCAAGTGGCCTGGCCTGGTGAGGGAGGGGCTAGGCTGGAGGAAGGATCCCAAGGGAGGTGAGGGGTGCTTCGCCAGCCTTCTCCAGCCCTGCCTGTGCAGGGTGTGGCAGTCAGTCTTTCCACTGAGTCACTGCATGGGCTCTCCCAACATCCGGTGCACACTGACAGCTGCTCTAAGCCAACCCCTAGCCCCCACCACTTGACCAACACAAATGCTGAGTGGGTGAGGCAGAAGGGGAGCGCTGGGGCCTGGCTAGGCCCAAGGTTTCCTGCTTCCTGGCAGAATGATCGCAGCCGAGGACTGGCTCTCTGGAGCTTCCTTTGCTGGCCTCATAGCTGCTGCCAATCACAAGACCAGGGGAAGCCAGGTAGAAAGGAGCTGGTATCCGGAATTCGTCATGTGTTTTTAACAGTCTGGCTTTGTGAGGGCGGCCACAGTGGTGGAGGCACTGCCTGGTGGTGGCAGCCAGAGGTGCCCACAGGAGGCACACCTCATGGTGCAGGCATGGAGGATGGCAAGGTAGGCAGAGGGGTCTGGACACAGTGAGGTGCAGCCCCCTCCCACCAGATAAGACCCAGTAGACGGTGCAGGTGCATAGAGCAGGTCCCTGGCCCAGGCAGGAAGGCAGCTGCACCCTCCCTGTAGCACGGGATGTCTGGATGTGCACTAGGGCAGAGAGGACAGGAGCCTAGGGAGGCTCCACTTCCAAATCGTCCATCCATCCCACAGGGGACGGGGCTTGCGTCTTGCTGCGAGCACTGGAGCCCCTAGAAGGTCTGGAGACCATGCGTCAGCTTCGCAGCACCCTCCGGAAAGGCACCGCCAGCCGTGTCCTCAAGGACCGTGAGCTCTGCAGTGGCCCCTCCAAGCTGTGCCAGGCCCTGGCCATCAACAAGAGCTTTGACCAGAGGGACCTGGCACAGGATGAAGCTATATGGCTGGAGCATGGTCCCTTGGAGCCCAGTGAGCCAGCTGTAGTGACAGCAGCCCGGGTGGGCATTGGCTATGCAGGGGAGTGGGCCCGGAAACCCCTCCGCTTCTATGTCCGGGGCAGCCCCTGGGTCAGTGTGGTCGACAGAGTGGCTGAGCAGGACACACAGGCCTAAGCAAAGGGCCTGCCCAGACAATATCTTTTAACTGTTTAAAAAACAAATAAATGTTTTATTTCTAGAAAACTGCGCTTTAGCCAGAGCTCTTCTAGGTGATCAGCATGTGTCTGGAGCCAGCTCTTCCTCCAGGACACGAGGGCTGGGGGCCCTGAGTATGTAGTGCCAGACCCATTGTGGATGCTGGGGAGAATCATCAGTGTGGGAGCAGAGAGCCCCCGAGGGTGGAGTCCTGCACAGTGGGCCATGCCTCCACCAGCAAGATGTGCACAGGTGACAGGGCTGCTCCAGCCTAGCAGGGGAGCTCAGGCCCTCGCGCCCCAGATGGTCAGGACCAGGTCACAGCTTGGCTATGAGCCTGTTTGTGGCTTCCATGGACTGTGGTGAGGGCTGGGCCAGGAAAGGCTCATGGCAGCCTGGAAGGAAGAAGTGCATGGCAGACAGAGGTGGTGCTAGGGACAGGGCCACAGGGCACTTCACAAATGGAAGGCTGTCGGAGAGACAGGAACAGGCCACACAAGTGTTTCAGCACATTCTTCAGGGTGGCCACAGAGGGGGGTTCCAGGGAGCAGGTGTAGGGACAAAAGGAGGGTCTGAGAAACGCACAGCCCACATGGGCCTAGAAGGATGCAGCCCTCACCCAGAGACAGGAGTTCTGGCAGGCCCGCTCCAGCGTGGAGACGCCTACACATGCGGCGAGGACTGGAGGGAAGCATAGGAAAGCGGAGGGCAGCGGCCTCACAGCTGAACCACCAGGGGCCAGTACAGCGGGGCTCTGCAGGCTTCACTGGGCCATGGCTGGCAGGCATCCACCCAGTGCCAGGCCTCAGGGCTAAGAGGGCTCAGCCTCAGCAGGGAGGAAGCCCTGGGTGGGAAGACGCGAGCGCCCACCTGCACACCCCGGCAGCCTTCCGCCCTCCGCCTGGGTTCAGGGAAGCAGAGCCTGGAAGACGGCAATCACGGGGTCCTCGTGGGTGGTCACCACCAGCACGCTGCGGAACTTGTCAAACAGCATGAGCAGCTGGGAGCGCCGAGTGTTCTCGTTGTACATAATCTCCTCCAGGTGGTGGCGGCCTCGGAAGTAGTGAAGGAGCCTGGAAGGGATGGGTGGGCGTGAGCCCAACCTGATGCCAGCCCCCAAAGGCCTCTGCTGAATAGCTACTGTTGGGAATCAACTCTGAGCTGCCCAAAGGCCTGAGCAGAGCTGGCAGTGAAGGCCAGGGAGGCAGCCACAGACCCCCAACAAGGGCAGGCAGGCCTCCAGGACCGCACGCCCACCATGGTCCTGCTGACCAGCAGGTAGGCAAAGTGGGTCCAGGAAGATAGACAGCTGTTCACACCCATAGTTGCCCCAGCCTGTGTCCTGATGTTGGGATCAGGGGTCTGCTGGTGGCTTCTTTTTCATGCTATGGTGAGTCCCACATAGCTCTGGAGCCAAAAGGTCACAGCTTTTTTATTCCCCCCCCGCCCCCCGAGAAATGGAGTCTCACTGTCACCCAGGCTGGAATGCGGTGGCTCGATCTCGGCTCACTGCAACCTCCACCTCCCAGATTCAAGCGATTCTCCTGCCTTAGCTTCCCAAGTAAGCTGGGACTACAGGAGTGTGCTACCATGCCTGCCTAATTTTTGTATTTTTTAGTAGAGACAGGGTTTCACTATATTTTGGCCAGGCTGGTCTCGAACTCCTGACCTCTGGTGATCCACCCACCTTGGCCTCCCAAAGTGCTGGGATTACAAGTGTGAGCCACTGTGCCTGGCCTGCTTTTTTTTTTTTTTTTTTTTTTAATGTCACCATCATTTGGAAAGTCACTGCTTTAGGGTGGTTTCTGCAACTGAGGCTGGCACAGAGGATGCTAGGATGCAGGTGAGACCTGGACCAGCTGCTCAGAAGCATTGCAAGTGGTTCTCTCAAGGGCCTGGAATGTGGTTCTTAACAGGGAACTCAGTCCCTGACAACCTGACCACTCCCGGAAAAGTGTGCCACTACACTATCCCCCACATCGGGGGGGCTGACAGAGACCACTGAGCCACACCACCTATAACGTGGGGGATCCTGGGTGCCCCCCGGGGCTTCGAGTCCTGGGCAAACCCCTGCCAAGTCTCCTGAGGGTGAGGACTTGGCACTGCCTCTCAAGGGACAAGAAATATCTAAGAAGTAGTAGAGAGCGAAGAGGCCCAAAAACAGGCACGCCAGGCCCACAGCCCAGGGTCTTGGTGACAAGCTGCATCCCCATGCCTGGGCAGTGGCACCTGCCCCTACACACCTGATTGCAGAGGCTCCATCTCGAACAGGGCCCCATTTGTTCTCAGTGGATTTGGTCCTGTTGCGTACGTCCCTATCCACTTTCTGCCCTGACCCTGCAACTGGCCCCAGTCCCAACGGTCAACCTGCACCCACCTGGCAAACATGCGGAGGTCCTCAGGGTTCTGGGCTGCGGGTACACTGAGGATGGCTGCGCGTTCATGCTCTGACAGGCTGGCCAGCAGGTTTTCCGTCATCCTCTGGTTCAGTGGTGAGTCCCCGCTGGGAAGCAGCTCTGCGCTGGAGTTGTCCATGCTGGGGCTGGTGAGGGTCATGTCATCACTGCTGGCTGTGGGGGCCATGGGTCAGGGTGACCAAGTGAAATTCCAGGACACCCAGGGGAACAGCGAGGGCAGAGCCAGCAGCCAGCCTCCAGTGATACCCCTAACTCCCACAAGGGCCCTATCTGGTGCCCCAGCTGCAACATCTGCCTGCAAGCATCCGCGGCTGCCCCACCTCCTGGGTGTGACACACCCCCCTCATATGGCTGACTTGGGAAATGGGTAGCCTCCCCTCTGGGGGCACCCTCAAGGGACCTGAACAGAGGTGCAATGTGTGCCCCACAAACACCCCAAGGTGGGCCTGGGCATCTTGCCCCTCACCCAGGATGGAGGACAAAGCACCTGGGACCTGGCAACAGGCTGCCGCCCTTGAGCCACACTAGCCATGACAGCTCTTCTGGGGCACAGAGGTGTCAGCTGTCCGGGTAGTGCTGAGAGATCCTGCTCTGATCCCAGGCTGGGGCAGAGATTCCGGCACTGATTTGGTGGGCTGGGAGCTGCTCCTGACTCTAGCAAGCCTGCTGAAGAGCCTGGAGGCAGAGCTGCCACCTCAGAGTCACGGTGGTGCTAGGAGACAGGAGAGGTGTCTCCACGGGGGACACAAGGCGCATGCCTGTGAGTGTGTGTGCGCAGCCATGTGGAGGCCCCTCAACACTCACAGCAGGGCCCATGTTGAGCCTCCTGGGCACCACCCCCAACCATCTCCCCTGACTACCACGGTGATGCCCGGGGGGGCCCTACTTGGGGAGCCAAAGCTGAGGGCGTTGGGCGTGCTGAGGCTGCGACCGCCGACCCGGGCAGTGAAGGGGACGTCGTCCTCTCGCGGGCGGGGCTCCTCCTCGCTGGGTGAGGCCATCAGGCAGACATAGGTGTGCAGCTGGATGAGAAGCCGGCGCTGCAGCATCCACACCACCATCTGGATAAGCTGGGTCTGCGGGTGGCAGCAGGTGAGGCTGGTCCCCCTCCCCACTCCAACCTCTTCCTGGGGGATCAGGGACCCATGGCCCTAGACATGGCCACAGCACACTCCCTGTGCTGACTCACAGGCAGAAAGACCCTCTTCTCAGAAAGGGAGCCCCCAGCTGCCAGCCAGCTCTGCAAGGCCAGCTCACCCTCCTGGGAAGGGAGAGGGGCCAGGGGACATCTGGATCACACCTGCATGGGCTCCCACCACACACCTGGGCCGCCCAGCATCTGGCTGAGGAGCAGGACCTGAGATGTGGAGGCCCCCTGTGACCGCTGCTCTGAGCAAATCCCCCACACTGTGCTGCTGCAGCTGCCCCTGTGCCTCCTCTCTCCTTCAGCCCACTGGCCCTGTAGTTTGTCCCAGCCAGCCAGTCCACCTCCAGACAAGCCCAGACACTGTTTAGAAAGAGGCTGTGGGCAGGCACCCTGAGAGCAGAAAGTCCTCTCCTTGGATCTATCTGAAAGTCCACCCTGAGCACAAGGGTGGATCCACAAGAAAGCTGAAGCCAGTGACCCTGGGCTTGGGGGTGGAGCACTCCCCTCCCCCTCCCCACCGTGAGAAGGCAAGTCCTGGCCAGGCTGTCCAGTGTCTCTGGGTTAGCAGGTGGGGCTGGCAGTGAGGAGAAGTGAGGAGCCTTGTGCCAGGTAGAGTCCAGTCCCCGTGAGAAAGCACTGCCCAGACACAGGCATTGAGCAGCGAGGAGTGTGAGACAGGATCAGTGTCCTCAGATACACATCTGTCTCCTCATCTCTGGGAGGGTCGACAAGGAGCTGCTGGCCAGTGTTACCTCCTGGGAGGGGGCTGGGGAACTGGGGATGGGAATGGTGGATATACGCCAGGTAAGTAAGAAGATGACCTGGTCAAATGGACTGCAAAATATCCAGACTTAACGCGAAATTAAGAAATAAAACAGATGGGGCTGGGCGTGGTGGCTCACGCTTGTAATCCCAGCACTTTGGGAGGCCGAGGCGGGTGGATCACTTGAGCTCAGGGGTTCGAGACCAGCCTTGCCAACATGGTGAAACCCCATCTCTACTAAAAATATAAAAATTAGCTGGGCATGGTGGTACATGCCTGTAATCCCAGCTACTTGGGAGGCTGAGGCAGGAGAATCACTTGAACCCGGTAGGCGGAGGTTGCAGTGAGCCAAGATCATGCCACCGCATTTCAGCCTGGACAACAGAGCAAGTTTGTTTTTTTCTTTTTTTTTTTTTTAAATACTTTACTTATTTATTTATTTATTTTTTGAGATAGAGTTTCGCTCTTTTTACCCAGGCTTGAGTGCAATGGTGCGATCTCAGCTCACCACAACCTCTGCCTCCCGGGTTCAAGCAATTTCACAGGCATGTGCCACCATGCCTGGTTAATTTTTGTATTTTTAGTAGAGACAGGGTTTCTCCACGTTGGTCAGGCTGGTCTCGAACCCCTGAGCTCAAGTGATCCACCCGCCTCGGCCTCCCAAAGTGCTGGGATTACAGGTGTGAGCCACCGCGCCCGGCCAACAGAGCAAGTTTCTATA